ATACATTCATTTGCTACTAAGCCTAAGAAATTACTTTCAATCACTTTGTATAACACAATTAAATATTTTTGAAAAATATATTTCAATTCAGAACTATTAAACTGCGGATAGAATAATTACTAGAGATACATGAAAAATTCCGAAAGGGTTCTCTAGAAGATTTATAAAAGAATCGCCCGAATGTTGCTTATATTATATAAATCTGTACCATAATATAATTTTTAAAAGCGAAGCCATATTTATGGTTACATATTTATATCTTTTATGCTTCTAGTCATGTACAAGAGATACACACAATATATTTTGGATTATTACCAAGGAGTACACAATGAGAATTTAGCTTGAGAATTACTATTTTAAATGCATTATACTTATACACAATATAATCCCCGTTAACATGCTGTAATCGGAATCCATGGCTATTACACCACGAGATAAGTAAACCGCGAGTTAAAATATATGTTGAGTGAAAAATAAAATAAAAAAAAAAAAAATCAAACAGGCATTTCTCAATATTAAGTGTTTTCTGCTGTCCTGGCCCCTTTTCTGTTCATTTTTTTTATCATTATCAACAAATTGACGGAGTTTATTCACATTTTTATCCAGTCTCATGATGTAGTCTAAATTCTTCAGCATTTTCTACTTGTCTAATCCTAATTCGAATTCGTTCGATAACATTGTGCTTTTCCCGGATAGTACAATCCGTTTGTTTACATATGATGTGGACTCGGATAGATTAAGTTATTTAGCAATTTCTACTTGTCTCTTCCCTTTTCGAATTCTTTCTATAATATTGAGCTTTTTCTGAATCGAATAAGTCGTTTGTTTACGTTTTTCTTCCGATATTATTTTTAGTTATTACGGAAATTATTTTTTCCAGAAAAAAATCGTTATAAAATGTTTAAAATTTGACCACTACAAAATGGTTGAACGAACTGCTAATCTCACTGGCCGTGAGATCTTGAAAATAATCTTTTACAAAAAAAGAATAATCCCAACTGGAACATTTCACCCTTCGAGAAATAGTGATTCATATATATAAAATAGAAAAAAAAAGTATTAATGTCTGCTCTTAACAGGAAGTCTTAACATCATCCAAACAAGTGTGATTACTCTGAATTTCAAAAAGAGAGAAAAAAAAAAAAAAAAAAGAACTATGACACCATAATATCTAGGAGTGATACCATAAGCGATTGTTTATCGAGGGTGCCATAGTAAAACCTCGTGTAAAAAAAAACTCACGTGTTGCCGAACCGTGTATTAAAATGGTCCAATCACAGCACGAAATGATCCCTTCAAAAATCTCAGAGCTTTTAGATTTCTCAGGCAATTTAATAAAAAGTCGAAAGCTTAAGCTAATGATTTTTTCATGCAGTTTTATTATAATATTTAGGTAAAATTTAATGTTGGTTCTTTCACAGGAACTGTAAATTTCATTTTACTTTAAAAGTTGTAAAATAATAGCTCCTAACAATTACATAAGAACAGAAATGTTTGTTTCAATAAATTTTCTGTTATAAGAGAAAGGCATATAAATTAAAAGTTTCTGTTATTTTTTTTTGTTTCATTGATTCTTTCTTATGTGAACGATAATTAATACATTCTTGTATGAAATTTTAATTTTTAGTCCTTTTCATTTCTATCTTTTAATAAGAACTTTTCAGTACACTTTCTTAAACTCAGGTTCATGCTAATGCGTTTATTTTCCCTTTCTAGGAAATTGGAACTTATGAATACCTTTTTCATTTATAAGTGATAAAATTTACTTTTTTTTTACTCTGCAAAGAGTCTATCAATTTATTTTTATTTTTATCATAGTAGTTTTGATAATTATTGCTTTCTTTTCCCCTCTGTTACTAAGCTTATTTAGAGAATCTCAAAATTACAAAGTCATACGAAGATAAAGTAATTCACAGGTGATAATCACTTTTTTTTTACTTTGATCAGCAAATAGTCAATAGTTAATTTTGACCCACTTTATCTGTGGTAATTAATCCCAGTACGTATCTGATTTTACGTTTAATTACAGTAAAAATTATACTTCTCACAGACTCATTCCGGTTCGAGTTCTTTGAATTGATGATAAGGGTTCGAGTCCTTAATCCTTTTGTAGATCGTATCTGAATTTACTCCTTGTTCATCGCTGGTGTGATAATCTGAAACAACAAATTAGTAACAATTATAAAATCTCTCAAGAAGTTGTATAAATGAGAGAAAGTAATAGGATTTTGTTTGATATTACCAGAAGCAAATATCAAAGAAAGATATGTATTTGTACAAATATTCACTAAATGAAATCAAAGCTGAAAATCTTATGTGAAATTAAATTAGTTTTTGAAAACGAAAAGATTTTTGAATAAAATATTTTTGTGACATCTTTCGATTAACCCCTCCGGTGTCCATTACTAAGTTTTATTTATATAGTTACTGAACTATAGTCCATTGAATGTAACTCACACAATGATAATAACCAAAGACTTTTATTCAAATTATGGATTTAAAAAGGTTTATTCCCCATTTTACTCTATTCGGAAAATTTGTCTAAATGCGGCTGAATTATCGTTTAGAATATTAAATTAATATATCTCTTGTCGACACTCGGTTTCGAGTGAGTAGAATTACTGAAGTTGACGGTTCGAGTTCGATACAGATATTTCATTTGAAAGTTTTAGCTCACTATATTAATCACTTACAAGGTTAATTCCCGTATTAAATTCTTCATGGCTATACACACATTTCCTCAATTCTATATTCAATACACTTCACTGATTCTAGTTCTAATCTACATAAGTAACATTTCTATTATAGTGAGAAATTTTAAATTCAAACATCATAAAAAGTCGCCAAAGAGTTAGTTGAAAGCCAAATCGCGGTAGAGCCCTCTTCGTAACATATTACAATTTAAAGCAAAATTATTTGACCATTTGACAGTAAAAATGTGCAATAAATCGTGCAGAATTCTATATTCACTGCACAAAATCTTACGATATTTTT